AAACAAAAAAAAATTAAAATAAGATGAAATAAATTAATTTAGCATAATCTTGAATTTTTCTGAGCAGAATTTTGTATTTTTCTGTGCATAATTCCTTGGGTGTACAGAGTGGTCTCAGCAAGAGCTCTGGTATTCCATGATGAAAAACCCCAAATCCAGTGCCAAAATATGTAAGTATTTGGCCTTTCACTTTAATCATGGATTTTGGGGTTTTAATCAGAGACTTTGAGGGGGTGGGGGGGTTATCAGGGAATTAGTGTGTGTGTGTGTGTGGGGGGGATATCAGAGAAAACCAGGTCCCTAATGATCTTTTAAATCTTAGCTTTAAAAGAAACTTACCTGACTAGAGTTGTGAAACAGCTGAGTGTCAGCAGAGAGAATGGTCAAACCATTCATTCCAATGAGTACAGAGGTAGTTGGCCTCTGTGGTGTCCCTTCCCACTGCCCCTTTACTTCTGTATAAACCCTTTCTTTCTGCCAGTCCTTTCATAGCATCCAACAAAGTTCATGCATGCTTCTCTGAACCAGTTAGTTTTAAAGGGTGTAGAAACACGCAACAGTTGAACTAGTCATAAATGTCAGTGATTTGGGAACTGGTTCACAGTTGTGTGAAGTGTTGTGGCTCTGCCACCAGGGAGTGAGTAGGGGGAAGTCCTTGTACCTATGCTTTGGGGTTCTCAGGGGGTAAGTGACCTGTGTCTGCAGGTGTTGTCACTTTTCTACTTTCCATTCTCTCCTAACCATGAGTTCAATAAACTTCAATAACTTGCAGATAACCAAAGTCTGTTGTATGTTTGTCCAACTTGGGCAGGGAAGTGGGGGAGGGAGAGGAGTGCTTGGACCTATACTTTTTGGTTCCCAGGGGCTAGATGGGCTGCAGTCGGGCTGAGTAGGGAGCAAGGATGAAGCTGGTTGTTAGCAAAATAACCTTTATGGGACAAGTAATGCACAGGAGCACATCTAATTAAAAAAAAAAAAAAAAGGCTTAAAAAGGGAAAATGGGGGCCAGTAGTGTTCTGGCTGCTGTTGACTGTAGCTTGTGTAGGCATAGCTGTGCTAACTTTAAACTAGCTAGCCCTGGTAGTGCTAGCAGTGTAGCCAGTTTACCACAGAATTGAACCCAGACTAGCTATGCCCAGGATAAAAATTATGTCGAAATGAAATTGTGTTTTCATTCAAAGAATTAAATGTCATTTTTTTCCCCTAAGTTTGCCTCAGAGCTTGTTAACCTTATCTAATATCCCAAAATACATGAGTAGCAGGATTTTTTTTCAAGCAGATTGGGTTAAAAAGATAAGACTTCAAGTCTCTCCAGTCTGAGAAGTTCTACCTGCTCAAAAGAGTATGCCTCTTCAGTTTAAAGTGCGCAATATGCGAGACTGAATCTTCTACAATGACAGTTCTATTTACTTGCAGCTACTTGAGGCCTGCTTTATTGATTTACTTGTTCATTTATAGACTGTAGATTAGGCACAAAGGTTAGCAGAATCTGGATTCTTCTGGATGCTCAGATTCTCTGTTACTTCCCTGGGGAACTTGTATGCAGACCCGAGTTGCCTCTCCTTTTCATCTCTGACTAGTGGTTTCCTCCAAAGCTAAAAAGAAGAGTCAACCGTATCTGAATTAATGAGGAATACAGAAAAGATATTTGAGATATCAGTAAAAACCCTTGCAAAGCCTGGTAAATTAGGCATATAATAGTGAGGAGGATAGAAGGTGTACCTAGTCCTTCTCAGTGATAAAACTGCAGGAAAAATTACAACCCTGTCTTAGATTATTTGCTTGTGGACATGGAAGAAACCAGCTGGGATACCACGTGATGAGGTGCTATGTTGGCAGTCCCTAAATGGACCACTGGACCACAGTGCAGAAAGAATGGCTAAAGAAGAGGTAGAGTTTTTCTACTTCAGTCCCCAAATACCAGTGATACTCTTACAATGGGATGCAACCTTGTGTCTTTAGATACACAAATTATATTGCTGAGATCAGCTAACTGTGAATTCCTGGTTTACATGGTTATATCTGGGTAGCCTAGTTAGAGCATACTAGACCGGATATGATTTGTCCTGAACTGAACTGGGACCTCATGGAACCGGTGCTGACTGCTTTATGCCTCTGAGAAACCACTGATACTGAGAGTTATTGCACCCAAAATAATTAGCTTCCATTACAAGGCAGCTTGCTTAATGTACTAAATGTTCCAATATTTCAAGCAAATTTTGATTCAGTTTGGAGAGGCCTCTCTGTCTTCCCAAATAGATGACCTTAAAACTTTGAACTGGTGAACTATACCAGTGGTCTCCACAGTGGGGTGTGCGCACCCTAGGGGGTGTGCAAGACGATCCATTGGGGTGCGAGAAGAAAATATTAGAACTTCTATTTATATGTATATTTATATAAATATACATATATTGGGGTGCGTGCTCAAAATTTTTTTACTGATGGGGTGTGCGATCAAAAAAGTTTGGAGACCACTGAACTATACAATGTGGTTGCTGAAAAGTGTTAGAGAAAACATGATTTTTCTGCAGCAGAGTTATTTTTCTAAACTTTTTTTTTGGAGTACAGCATTTTCTGACTGTCAACAGCACTGATAAGACGCACTTGTCCCCTGAACAATAGTCGTGTTCCATTCAGGTGTGCTGAGGTTAGTCTTCTTTTTAATCTTCAGAATTAATTTGGAAAGACTTGTGATTAACAGTAAGCGCCACAGGATCGGTAGGTTTCTACTGGTTCAGCAGCTTCCTGGCTGCTGCTGAACAGTCTGCAGTGCTGTTGTCAGTGCTTCCTGCTGTTTCTTCATGAACTGTTGTTATTGTTGCAGCATATTGTCTGTTGTTGGGATCTTCGTTTAATTAATTTTCTTCATATTGTTTCCTTTGTGCAGAAAAGATTTGCTTTACTACACTTAGTACCATGTGTAGCATATCCCTATTTTATTGTCTAAACAGCAGGAGATGATTTTTTTTCCAACTTCTGTGCCAGGAAAAAAAAAAGGGGGGAGTGGGCTGGTTTTTGTTTTGGTTTGGTTTTTTTTGGTTTTTTGAAACAGATAGAGATACTTTATATCTTTGTTCAAGTGTATAGATTAATAGGTTGTTTTTCAGAAATAAAATTCCAACACAAAATAGGCAAATAGAAGCGCATCTTCAGGAAGTGGAGTAGTTTTCTTCCCACAATTGCCCCTTTCTAGGCGACTGATCTGTTTATCTGCATTCAAAAACAAGGAGCAGTGGTCTTGCTTTCTGTCTTTGAGCTATTCTGGGTCCTATATTCCCCAGCTCCAACTGAATATTGCTTCCCGTTGTAGGAAAACTAGATGTGCATAGCATCCAACAGGGTACCTACCAGCCATCTCTTCCTCATGTGCTATATCTCCTTCAGTCCTCAGCTTCCCTAGAACCTACACAGTTGTCTCGCTGAATACAACCTCATACTTAGGCAAGATTCATTACTCTCTCTGGGAGGGCCAGAATTGTATCTCTCTTCTTGGAGCCATCCTTGAATCTTTCTCTTACTCTTCTTTAGTGATGGAGGCCTGCTCAGACAAGCTGAGGGGGAAGTTGTGTTGGCTTCTTGCATGAGTTTATAGTGCTTTGCACAAGTATTTACTTAGGAATGCTTGCTAGATATGCCTTCTGCCATGAACTTATGCAAGCAAAGGGAGTTCCAAACTTGTTTTTGTGCCCCTATCAACGGTACAAATCTGCTCTAGCAACTTGGCAGCAATGGGAAGAATAGAGGAGTTGCCCTATTGGAAGGGATCAGTGATCCCTCTGTTCTAGGACCCTTTCTTTGACAGTCACCAGCATTATGCAACACATCCTGAAATAAGATGCATACTAGGCCTGTGCAAAGCAGCTAGTATTTGCTTCAGATTCACATTCAGCTGATTCGGGAGGCAGTGATTCGATCTGGTGATTCAAATCACTTTGCCAATGCGATTTGGCCGAATCTGATTTGGAGATTTGGCTCCTTCTGAATCTCCAAATCAGCCAGGCCAGGCCCATCCACTGCCCGTTCTCTCAGCCCAGCCGTGGCTGCTCTGCCTGCCCCAGCTCCCAGTGCTTTAAAAAAAAGCCCTGATTCCCTGGGTGCTGCCAGGTAGGGGGCAATACCCTGCTGCCCTCCACTGCCCCATGCTGTGTGGGGGGCTCTGCACAAGCCCCACAACCCCTTGCTCCTCCAATCCCCCTGTATGGCTGCCCTGCCTGCCGTGGCTCCCACCTTTTAAGAAACCCCTTCCCCCCCCTCCCCCCAAGAAAAAAACACTGGACTCACCATT